AATACAGAATGGGTATCATTGTAAAGGTTATAAAAATACCTTTCTATTGAGTGGACTGTATATTATGTGGAAGATACAGTCAAAACCTGGGGTTTCATTTTTTTTTAACTTTTCCCTGAAGTAGTTATTTATTATCCTTATTACCCGGCTATTTTATCATTTTAAAGGTTATAAAAATACCTTTCTATTGAGTGGACTGTGTATTATGTGGGAGATACATTCAAAAACCCGGATTTTAAGTTTTTTAAGTTTATTCCCCGAAGTATTTATTTATTACCCTTATTATGGAGATATATATTTTTCGTATGCGGTTACCCGGTTATTTTCCCTGGATGTACGGGAATCCGGTTTTACGAAACTGATTAATACAAAATGGGAATAATTTTAAAGGTTATAAAAAACGTTTCTATTGAGTGGACTTGGTTATCTTAATTCGTGTGGGAGATACAGTCAAAAAACCGGATTTTGATTCAGATTGATTTTTTTTTTGAAAAACTGTTTTGTATCGGGTACCCAAACTTCCGAGTCAACCCTGTACGTCCTCCTATCAATAGGGTCTTGGGGGTAATTGAACCATTAAATAATTAATCTATATATGGCCTTAGGTAATTTCCCAAATATCGAACACTACTTATAGGTCGATTGCTAGCGACATCGTGCGTACCAAATTCGTAAACCATACTGGTGCCGCATAGCTAGGTATCCTTGTCAGTACCGAAGGTGTTTCCAACCAGCGACTTGAAGACCTTGTTCATACTTCTCAGCTTATAGTGCTTGGGCGGACGGCTTTCAGAGGCTATCCAATGTTACAGCCAATATCATGGAGTAATTGGTGGTCGTTGTCTGCTCTCCATCGACAATTATGTTCGGCAAGAGCTTCATTTCAGCCATCCAAGTGGTGAAAAGTGTGACTGTGGATTTGATGATGGATGTTTTCAGCTATGAAGACGTTAATTCTTTCACACTTACCATTAATAATGTGGTCCGACGCCGATGTTTATTGAATATCAAAAAGCTAGAGGTTGAACCGTTCCGGCGAAATTACCCCTGTTTGGGCGGAAAATGGTACCCCAAACAAGGGCTGAAAATGGTCTTTGGTGTAGTTAACGGTATCAAAAGCCTTCGATAGGTTAATACCAACCCATGATTCCTCAGTTGCACGAATTGCTAATCTTGGCGGCCATGAAAAACCCAGTCTTTGTGAAGCCGATGTTACCATTTGCTATACTTAACTTCCTAGGATCAATACTCAATAAATACTACTATATTTCATATATATTCACGAATAGATGATCATGGTCGATTGTGTGTACCCCATATTTAAAACATGTCATTCAACTCCCTATACATATTTCTTGTACCATTCCAATTGGATAAAAGACAACAACCAACAGCTGTCTTACCTACGTTGCCATAACGTAAGACTAACTAATCTTGTAATGTGTTCTCATTTTATTTTTTTCCTCCGTTCCGTTTTGTTTTCCTTCATTTTTTTCTTGTTTTCAAGTCTTTATTTGCTGCATATACCTACAATTCATTTGTTTTTGTGGATATTTATTTTTATTATTATTTTCATTGTTTCTGTTATTATTATTGGTGTTGTTGTTCTTGCTGCTGCTGTTACTTTTCAAAGAGGTATACGACGACGATTTATTATTGTTATTATTAAAAGAGATTGTGTGAGAGAGAGCGAGCACCTTGTATATGAGTGTGTGTTTTTGTGTCTCCGTACTGTGCGGTGTGTGCTGTGGTGCAGAATTTTTCTTGTTTTTTTTTTCACACAACCAACAACAACAACTACACACAAGTGTGCTGTGCGATGTGTAAGTGCGTGTATGTGCTTGGTTGCTTGCTAGTGTAGTGTACAGAGCCAGTCAGTAAAGAACACAACGACCGACCGATTGCTTGCTTGTTGTGTTGTGTTAGCAGCTAGTCTTTGCTTTGCCTGACTGTGCCTGCCTCTGTGTTTGCTGTTGCTGTAGCCAGCCAGCCTTTTGTAAATAATGTAATTAATATACATTGAACAAGAAAAAATAAGGTTATGTTTAATTCTTTTCGGTATTCGGTGTGTGTTGTGTTTTTTTGTGGTTCATGTTATTATTGTTGCGCGTTGTTGTTGCTGTTTATTTATTTTTTTCTAGAAGAGACAATTAGAAGAGGTGGTGTAGAGTGTGAGTGAGTGGTTTTTGTTGTGCTGCAATCGAAGCAACCTAAATTTTCGGTTAATAAACGGAAAGAAAAAAACAGCAACAGCAGTGTTATTTATAAACGTCCGACGTCCGCAAATCCACGTGGATTTTTTCTTTTCCATCCATTGCCAGCAAGCAGCAACATGAAATAATTTGCAGTGTTCTTTTTATTATTTGGCAAAAAACAAAACAACAAAAAGAAAAACAGAAATATTATTTTTATTTTGGTGGTACAAGGTGGTGTGTATGTACTCGTATGTATAACTCAAGAAAAAAATTGTTTTTGAGTCTGCGGCTTATATGAATGTTTGTGAAATAAAAAAATGTGATTTCTAAAAAAAAGAAGAAAACGTTAACAAAGTGAACATAATTAAAAAAAGGGTTAAGGCTTTTTTAATTGAAAACCAAAATATTGTCACCACATGTCCAACATTTCCCGTAGCCTAGCTGTATCCGTCTGTTTTGTTTGTCTATCATCAACATCATCATGATGTAGCTTGTTTTTCTTGTAATACATGTTAGAGAGTTGTTGAATATGCCTATTTTGAAAAAAAGTGGTTCTTCTTCTTCTATTATTTCTTCTCCAAGGAATTTTTGCAGAACTTTTGTTTTGTTCCTCTCTCCCCCTTTCCCACAAAAACAAAAAACACACATGCACACACACACACTGAGTGTTTGGCATATGAACTGCGGCCGCTGCTGTTGTTTACCGCTGGTTACCCGGTTTTCTCTTTCCCACAAAATTCATCATCCCTTCTCGCATTTATTTACTTTTGTTTTTTCAATTTTATTATTGGATGCGAACGATGCGATGCGATGGCGACAACGACGACACATTGTGTGTTTTGTAAACAAGTTTGTTGGAATAATAGATTTGTTGTTGTTGTTTTTGTTGTGTTCGGCGCTGGCTTCCAAAATTGTATGGTCGGTCGGCTGGACGGTCGGTCAATAAAAATATTTTGAAAACAACATGTAATTGAAAAAAAATATATATTGAAAAAATGAATTCGATTTTAAAAAATTATTATTTTTATAGATTAGTTATGGGAACCTAACGATAATAAGCAAGGAATAATAATCCATAACGCTCAGAACCCTTTACACTATCAAGGACTAAAGCATCAGCCAATTCCATAGCGATGTTAATAGTGTTACAACAACAACAAAAACATTTAAGAACTCATCTCGACTGGTATCGAAGACTGTAACCTCTAAAAACAATGACCATGCTGTCTTGGGATTTAGTTCAGAACCCTAGAACTCCTTTATCGAAGGAAATCGTAAAAGGGTCTATATAAAATAATACTATCATAAAAATATCTTCGTCTTCTTTTTTATTATAGATTCTATTCCGAAGCTCCAGTCTGGCTTAGGATTTAGTTTAGAACCCCAGAACTCCTTTACCGAAGGAAATCGTGATGGAGGGAGTTATTGACAACCACAAGAGAGTCTTTATGAACGATAACAAGAGAGTCTTTAAGAACGTTTTTATTAGAGCATTTCTAGAAAAAATGATCTTCCTAAACGACTTGAAAAGTATTATCCTAGACGTCTTCAAAAATGATCTTCCTATACGATTTGAAAGGAAACTTTTAGGTCGACTTGAAATGAGTCTTTTTGGACGACTTGAGAGGAATCTTCATAGACAACTTGAAAAGAGTCTTTATAGACGACATGAAAGTATTCGAAATGGCCTAATTAGAAGGACCCTTTCATGAAGAATTGTAGACTAAAAATATAGAAAATAAAAGATTATGAAGAAGTATGTGAAGTAGTGTACCCAATGATACGCTGAAATATAAACAACATGCGTATGTAAAGGATAGATAGGGAAACCGCTTTACATGAAGTAGTACACTATATTGAGGGCACCTTCGCTAAGAAGATGTATACCTTAGCGGTATACATTGAAGGAGCCTTCAACAATGTCAGCACCAATACGCTCATCCAATCCATAGACATGATAGATGGATTAGCTGTAGCATACAGGGCATAACAATCAGAGACAATGTAGGTCAGGGAACATCACAGGGAGGGATACCATTAATAATTTCTCACAACAAGGATCTGTACGAATTATATGGGTATCGAGTCACAAAGGAATTATAGGCAACGATACAGCAAATCAACTAGCTAGGAGTCTGCTGCACTACCGACAAGAGATGTGAATACCTCCAAACTCAAGGCGAATGAGACCCACAAACCCCTTTGGGAAAATTAGGGGACAGGAAAGATCGCCAAAATCTTATGGGGTAACCCAAATGAAGACAAAATCAAGCAAATCCTGACACTAAACAAAAAAGAAACAAGCCGACTCAAGATTGGATGCGAAGGTAGCTGCATGTGCAGACCGTGGAAGACAGTGAAACGCTGCAACATTTCCTGTGCCCTTGCTCAGACTTCGGAAGCAATTCTTGGGAAATTACACTTTTCATGTACTAGCCGATTTGTTTCGTTCTCTTAACCTTTGAACTACATTCTTTGCATATATGAAAAATTATTTGAAAAATAAAATTGAGTTTTGCATTAAACAAATAAATAAATAAAAAATAAAAAAAATTTGGATTTAAAAAATAAAATCATAACACAACATTATATAAGTATGATCTGTGAATTATTATTTAACTGTTATTTTTTCCTTCTTTTCATTGCAGTAATCTGTAATATTTCATGGCCACCGGTTCTACTACAACAACAACTAACAACAGCCTTAATATCCCGCCCACCCAACAATTTAACAAAAACTACGGCAATACCAATAATATCAACAACAGCAACAACAATCACAACATTGTAAACAGCAGCAACAACAACATAATTTACAACGGCAACAACAACAACGGCGGATTTCGAACATCTTCCAACAACAGTTGCAGTAACAGCCTCACCATAAGCAGCAACAACATAAATTCGAGCAACAGCAGCAGTGTTACGGTTACGGCCGACGCTGCGACTGTGGCTATAGCTAAAGATATGTTACAATTGCATCATGGTTCGGCATTGAATAATAACAACAATAACAACAACAACATCAATGATGGCTTAAATTCTTCACCTGCTCACAATAACAACAACAGCAACAATAATTCCTCTTCAAATTCTTCTGCCACGATTAATAATCGTAACTCAACAACAGCAAATACGATGACGCTAGCAACCCCACCTGCCCCTCAACAACAACAGCAGCAACAAATTCAACTGCAACCCCAACAAAGACCACCGCCACCTCCCGAACATGCTGTGGGTTTTCTCAAATATGAAGACGAACTGTTATACATCACCGAAACCTGCACCGTTATTGGACGCAATTCCTCAACGTCCCATGTCCATTTCCATGTGGCCGAAAACAATTTGGTATCCCGCAAACATTTTCAAGTTTTATTTGATCCGGAGACACGAGATTTCTACGTACAATGTCTGAGTAAGAATGGCATCTTTGTTGATGATTTCTTGCAGCGACGCAATGCGGATCATTTGAAATTACCAGCCAGGTAAGGCAACACCCACCAACACCCTCAACCTTTACAGCATAATTCTGATAATTGTCTTTCTCTCTTTCTTCCTTTTCCAGTTGCTATTTTCGTTTTCCCAGCACCGAAATACGCATACAATTCGAAAGTTTCTTGCATACGGACTCGCCACCGGACTCATTGACCGGCAGCCACACCAACAACAATAACATGAGTAATAACTCCATGAATAATAATCATCATAATATATCTTCATCATCTTCCTCCGCCTCTTCTCATCATATATTAAGTGGGCATGGTGGTGGTGGTAGTGGTGGCGGTGTTGGCATTTCGGCCAGTAATGTTCATCAAGTTATTATATCACCTGCCTCGGCCGATGAGTTGAACAATCAACAACAGCAGCATCATCATCATCAGCAGCAACAGCAGCAGCAATTGCATGGTGGTGGACATGTTGCTGGTGGAGTCGGCGTCCAACAGATGCAACATGTTACATCGCAACAACAACAACAGCATCAACATCATGCCACAACCGCTGGCGGCGTTGCATCACATTTGCTACCGGTGGATAATTCGAATGTTATTTATTCGCCATTGAAAATAGCAATACCTAAAAAGGAACAAAAGAGTCCTTATTTATCACCCACTGGCAAGTCTTCTTCTTCTCTTTTTTTTGTTTTCTACAACATATTATTTGTACTCTTTTTTTTAAATTTTTAATGGAAATAAGTCTTAGTCATCTTAACAAATATTATTGTTAGAGAATTTTAAATACGTATTTTCATAGACAACTTGAGAGGAGTATTTGTAGATGATTGGAAAGAAGACTTGAAGGTAGTCTCTACAGAAAACGGTAACTAGAGGCATCGACTTCCAGGAAATTAGATAAGGTACAAAGAACCGCCTTGATTTTAATAACAGGAGCCATGAGGAGCGGCCACAACCAGCTCTGAACGCAATGCTGAACTTAAATCCTCTGGGCCTAAGCATTAAGTGTCAGGCCGCACGTAGCGCCCTAAGGCTGCATGAACAAAAGAATGGAATCTTTTTTGACAGAACATAAAACCTGTTTTAGAGAATTTGAAATGAGTCTTTCTTTTCAAATTCAAAGGAGGATTGCCGACGATTTGAATGGGGAGTTCTGAAGGGAGTTTTCATAGATGAAATCTATGGATTCTTTATGGAGAATTAGCAAGGGGAATTTAAAGATAAAAGGATGATGGATACAAAAGACTAGGAAGGCGATCTTTTTAAATTCAAAGGAGGATTGAAAATGGAGTATTTGGACTCGACTTGAATGTAGTCCTGAAGGAAGTTTTGATAGACGAGATCTAAAAAGAATGATGGATTCTTTTTAGTCGTATTTGCAAGGGGAATTTATAGATAAAAGGCTGATGGATACAAAAGACTAGAATATTTTCTGCCATGGAAACACAATACATCCGGTGTTCCCTTCACTACTAACAAATCAGAATACTTTGAAATGTCGTTGAAGTGATGCAACACAAAAAAGGCAGGGATAAATTCTTAAACACTTGCTCCTCCATTACCACCAATTTTAAGGGAAAGTTGTCTTGTATTTTCTTCTATTTCATCATCATATGGAGATTTCATTTTATTTTTCATTTTTTATGTTCCATAACCTTTTAACCTTATTTATACTAAATTGTGTCCTGTTTTCTTTTTAGGTACAATAAGTGCAGCCAATAGTTGCCCGGCTAGTCCGCGTCAAGGTTTTCATCAAAATCAAAATAACTATAACAATTATAGTAATAATAATATACAAAATGTAAGTGACCCTGTACACTTTATTTAATTTTTAATAATTTTTTTTATTTATTTTTAGCAACAAGATTTATTCCAAACCCCATCAACCGCCAGTTATAATCATAATGAGAAACCACCCTACAGTTATGCTCAATTAATTGTCCAGGCAATATCGGCGGCACCCGATAAACAATTAACACTGTCGGGCATTTATTCATTCATTGTCAAGCATTATCCATATTATCGCAAGGAGACCAATAAGGGTTGGCAAAATTCCATACGTCATAATCTCAGTCTAAATAGGTGGGTTTGGTTACTTACAACACTCTTCTTTTTTGTAGGAAGATAAATAAATTCTAATTTTGCTCTCCCCTCTAGGTATTTTATTAAAGTTGCTCGTTCTCAAGATGAACCCGGTAAAGGTAGCTTCTGGCGCATTGATCCGGATAGTGGTGCAAAACTAATAGATCATAGTTATAAAAAGCGACGTCAACGTAGCAGCCAGGGTTTTAGGCCACCCTATGGTATGCCACGTTCAGCTCCTGTTTCACCAAGTCACATGGGTAAATTGCAATATTTATATTTATTGGATCCAGAAGTATTAATTGTTTTGTATTGTTTTGCTTTCTTCTTTTTTTGTAGAAGAATATTCTGCGGATAATTCACGAGAAAGTTCACCATTGCAAGATATTGTTTTACAATCTGCACCCGGCTCTCCTGGTATGTCATTGGAAAATCGTAATGTTGATAATGGTAAGTGAAAAGATGGTTGGTTAGCGTTCAAAGCCACCTCCTTATCTTTCTAAGGTTGCACAATATGCAGTTGTATACCATTGAAGAAAAAATATTGTAGTCTGTATGGAAAAAAATATCCATCACTGCAAGAAAAATCTGCTCTGAAAAAAGGAATGTTCTGTTGTTTTCATTAACTTTATGTTTTTTTTTTTCAGAAATTGTTTATCAAAATCAGAATATTCAACAATTCGGTACCAATAATGCCCATCAATATAGGTAAGTCTAATGATAATACACTTTTTATATTTTTGTATATCTATAATTTTTTTCTTTTAAAATTTACAGCAGCCCCTATATAACAAATCAAAATCAAGTTATATCACAGCAACAGCAGCAGCATCATCAAGAAATCAGTGTCAGCAGTGCAGGTGGTGGTGGCGGTGGTGGTGGAGTTGGTGCTCTTATTGCTCTCAAACGTAATCATGCAATGGCTGCAGCTGGTACTAATACAGCCGGAGGTGGTGGTGGTAATACTGCAATAACAACAATGCAACAACAACATCAACAGCCTAATTTACAGGGTCTACATCCAGATATAATCTATGAAGAGATGCCAACAGATTATAGCGGCAATATTGTGGAATCGGGTGATGAATGTGATGCTGGCACTAAACGGCCCAAAGTCGAAGTACTCTGATGTGTTAAAAAACGCAAAATGAAAAAGCAACAACAGCAGCAGCAACAACAATTATTATCGAAAAGAATGGCGGCAAACAGCAGTAGCAGCAGCGGTGTTGCTGCTGCAGCAGCATCATCACCAGCAACTACCACGGTCGTTGTTGTTGTCGGCAAATAATTATTATCATATATGGCAAATGATAAGATCTATTATTATTATTTTTTTTTTTAAATTAGGCTTTAATTTGATTTTCCAAACGAAAAATGGAAATGTTTTAAGTAAATCCCAATCTACACCAAAACACAGCAACAACAAACAAACACACTCTTTCTACATTTAACAAAAAAAACTATCAACATCATTTTTACTTTCCAAAACTATTGTATCCTTCTATCCTCGCTATCCACTCCCCTCATTTACCGGATATTTTTTTTCTCCTCTCATAGTTGACTATTTTTGTTTCCACGTCGTTTTTGTTTTTTTTTTTACTCGGATTAACTACCTGCCCTTCATCTAAACTTTGGACTCTTTTTTTACAAACAAACACCACACAAAGCAAAACAACAAACCAACCGAACATTTAAAAATTACTTTACAATCTATCCTCACCTACTCTCCTTCCCCTACCCTCATTCTTTCGCTTTTATTACATTTATTTTTATTATGATTTTGATTTCCTTCAGAGAAAACCCCCCGGAAAGAAAGGAAGAAAGAAAACAAACCAATTTTTAAAACGTTTAAAGTCTTAACGTTATTGATTTACAAATTACAAATAATAATAATAATTATGTACTATTATTATATAAAAAAAGAAAATTTATTGTTTTTAAAAAACACATACCACACACAGAACACACCATTATTAACTGTTTCCCCCCATAAAAAAGAACAACATACAACACTACTATTTAATATGTTATATTAAAACAAAACAAACAAAAAAAAACCAACAACAAAAAAATGGAAACAAATTTTTAATTCAAATTTCAAGAGATATACATATTTTCAAATGAAATTCGAAGAAGGGTCCTTAAAAAGAAACAAAATTGTACCCAAAAACAAAAAAAAATTTTTTTTGGTCCAATTTTTTTTTTAAATATTGGTTCTTATACAAGGCATTAATTTTTTTTGAAAATATTTTTCTTAAATTCCATACAAGGCTTTATTTTTTCTTTTTGTGTTCGATTTTGTTACATTTTTTCTGTTGGCTTCCAAACAAGGCATAGATTTTTTTGGAAAATATTTTTCTTAAGTTCCACAAAAACTTTAAAAATATTTTTCTTAAGTTCCACAAAAATTTTAAAAATATTTTTCTTGTGTCCTTTACAAGGGGGTCCCATACAAGGAGTAGAATTTTCAATTGGGTTCGATAGAAGGTGTACATTTGTTAAAATTTTTTTCTTGGTTTCCAAATAAGACGTAGATTTTTTGAAACTATTATTCTAGGGTTCCACAAAAATTGTAAAAATATATTTTTTTGGGTTCCAAAAAATGTCAATGATTTTTCTCGAGTCCTTTACGAGGCGTAGATTTTTTTAAAAATATTTTTCTTAAGTCCCACACATGTCGGACGACTAGAAGAGAGTCTTTATGGACGACCTAAAAGAAGTCTTATTTATCTCTTCGCAGACCACCCGAAGTGATTTATAATAGCCGGACAACTTGATGGCAGTCTTTACAGTCTATATAGGGGTCTTTATAGGCGTCTAGAGGACTTTATAGACGACTTGAATGGCGTCTTTATAGACGATTTGAAAAGAGTCTTTATAGATGATTTGAAAGGAGTCTTTATAGACGATTTGGAAGCCGTATTTATGGACGACTTGAAAGGCGTGTTTATAGACGACTTAAAAGGCGTCCTTATACACGACGATTTGGAAAGAGTCTTTATAAACGACTTGAAACGAATCTTTATAGACGACTTTAAACGAGTCCTTATAGACGATTTTAAGGGGTCTTTATAGACGACTTGAAACGAGTCTTTATAGACGACATGAAAGGCCTCTTTATAGACGATTTGGAAGGAGTCTTTATAGACGATTTAGAAGGAGTCTTTATAGACGATTTCAAAGGAGTCTTTATAGACGACTTGAAACGAGTCTTTATAGATGTCTTTAAGGAGGACTTGTAGAAGTTTTTAAGGATAACATGGAAGAGGTATTTATAGACGACTTGAAGAAAGTCTTTATGGAAGGCATGCTTTTTGGACTACCTGAAAACAGGTTTTATATACCAGTTGGAAGCTGTCTTTTTGCCGAAGGCTTGAGGAAAGTCGTTATGGACAACATGTAGGGGTCTTTATGTACAACATTGAAGAGGAGACACCTTTGTGGACGGAGTTAAGGATTCGATTTTTTCCAAATTCGTTTTTTCTGATTTTTTTTTATTCTGTTTCAGAGTCACTGATTATTACAACACTCCTCCAACATTTAAATACGATTTTTTTATTTTAAATTTGTTTACCTTTGCTTCAAAAATGTCCCCAAAAATTTCGTCGATCACTTTAAAAAACCTACTGATATTTTTGATTTTGAAAATATTGATTTGAAATATTTTGATTTTGAAAATATTGCGTGTTTGGAACATAAACGATCACAAGGAACAATGATCACAAATTTTAAATATTTTAACATTACGCAGGTACCCTTACAGACTCTATATTGTATAATTCTTTGAGTTTCATTTGAAAATATTTCCTTTTTTGGGAAACATATGTAGACATTTTCACCACTAAAAAATATCCAAGCAATTCAGGAAACCTTTCTTTTATTAAGATTTTTTTAACTACACAGCATATTTTTTTCAATTAAAACAGTTGTGCAAAATGTTGATAACTTTTTGCCCATCCATTTCTTTTCAATTATCATCATCATGACTCGCCTTTTTTTTGAGTTTTAAAAAACAAAAAGAAAAAATCTGTTGTTTTATGGGTTAGTAGTAGTTTTGTGTCTTTTTTCGCGCGAAATTTTTATAGTAATAATTATTATTTTTTTAAATACACATTATTTTTTATCCGTTAAACGGATATTGCTCTATTGATTCTCTTCTTTTTTGTTTGCTATAGCAATATTAAAAAAGGAAAAAAAAAAAACATAAAAAAGAAAACAAACAAATTACGATTTTCTTTTCATTTTAAATGTATAATTTTAAATTAATTTAAAAAAAGAAAACAAAAGGATTATCACACATACAACATACATGATGAAGAAGTAGAAAAGGACATCATCGTCGTACCATTATCAGGATAATCATCATCATAATAAAATGTGACTATTTGTGTGAAATATTTTTTTTCTGAATGGAACACGGCGAATATGATTTCCTTTTTTTTTTTCATTTTTTCTTCTAATACAACAAGAAACCACAAAAAATACCACCAAAATTTAAAAAGAAACAAACAAAAAAAAAATATTATAGAAAATACTAAAATAAAATAAAAAAGAAAATTATTGGCAATTAAGCATTAAAACTATTTGATCAATGTGTGTTAATAACAACAAACCAACAACAGTTTATTATAATAACAACAATAATAATATGAAAATATAAAAAAATAATGATAATGGGTATTAAGAGTTAGAAGAGATTGCATCAGAAGAATAAAAAAATATAACGTCGTACGTAAAACAATGTAAGAAATCTTTGAACTCATTTATTGTAAGTTCTATCCAAAAAACAAAATAAAAAACAATTAAAAAAAAAAACAGAAAAATAAAATCCAACAACAAAAAAGAAACACAAACAGTTGAAACAAACATACAAAAAATGTATCGTCGTTTACGGAATGTATTGTAACGTATATATATTATACACAGCTTCGTTTTAATAAAACGTAACTACAAAAAAAAAAAAACAACAACTTTTTGGGAAATATAACTTTTTTTCATTTCTACTAAATTGAAATACAAAACAAGTAAAATTTTAGATGCGCATTCAAAACATCTCAAATCAAAACATGGCCCCGCATTGTAATTTTTTTGCCAAGAGAATTTTTTTTCTTTAACCTCTGAAAAAAAAACCAAAAAACTCTAAAATTTGTTCCGCCACATTCTCTGTATGCTTACAATAGAGATGAAGGGTCGGGATGCCTTTTAGGACTTTATGGCTCCTAGGAACACTTGCTGCTGATTGGAAAGCGATGTTTCAAATTACAGCCAATTTGGAGGGAAATCCGGTTAGGACACTTCAAATATTTGAAAATCGGCCGGAGCAAAGCCTTCTTTGGAGGCCGTTGACGCTACCTGTCCACAGTATTCCCATTTAGTTCCTCAAAAAGACTGTTTTCAAATCTTCTATAAATCTCTCTTTTAGACGTCTATAAAGAAACATCTCCCTGATCGTGTCTGAAGAATCAGTTTTCAATTCGTCAATAAAAACTCCCTTCAAGTCGTCTATAAAGGCACCCAAAAAGTCGTCTACAAAAGGTCTCCCTTCAAGTCTTCTATAAATACTACCTTTAAGTCGCCTATATAACCTCCCCTTTCAAGGCGTCTAAAAAGACCCCGTTCAAGTCGTCTTAAAAGACCTTTTCTATTCGCCTATAAAGGCTCTCTTTAAGTCATCTCACCTTTAAGTCATTTTTACAGCCAATTTGGTTGGAAATCCGACTAAAATCAGTTGAAAGCCTTTGGAGACCCAAGACGCTAACTGTCCACAGTATTCCCTTTTAGTCGCTCAAAAAGACTGCTTTTAAATCTCCTATAAATCTTTCTTTAAGATGTCTATAAAAAACGTCTCTCGAATTGACTCTGAATAATGTACCTTCAATAAAAACTCCATTCTAATCGCCTATATAGACTCCCCTTTCAAGGCGACCATAAACACCTCGTTCAAATCGTCTTTAAAGATTATATAGGACTCTCATTATAAGGACTCTCATTAAGTCGTGTCTAAAGACTCCCTTTAAGTCGTTTTCAAAGGCCCTCTTACGACTACTTTTAAGTCGTCTCTATAGACTACCTTTAAGTCATCTCTAAAGACGCCCTTAAAGTCGTTTCTAAAGACTCCCTTTAAGTCGCCTCTAAAGACTACCTTAGTCCTGATTTAGATTAGGCGAGTTTACTAGCGGCAATTATTATCGTTCTCTTTTGAACTTGCTTCATGCGTTTATACAAGGCAATTCGGTTTCAAAAATATTTCTTTTTTGAAAATATTTGATTGGTATTTCAAATTATTGACACTACAAACAAAATACACAAAACGAATTGCCAGAAAATTGTCGGTACGAGCAATTTTTTTCAATTTCTATTCCCCTTGCCCCTCTCTCTAGCAAACAAAAACTTGCCGCAAGTAAACTCGCCTAATCTAAATTCAGACTTAAAGACTCCCATCAAGTTGTCTGAAAAATACTCCTCAAGTCTCCTAAAAGACCCCCCTCGTCCATTCATGTTGTCTAAATCGTTTAAAAATTCTCCATATCAAGACTTCTCACACGAATAAAGTACTCTTTCAAGTCCTTTCAATTTGTCTGTACCCCGTCTAAAAAAACATCATGAATATGTTAAGTAGTCCAAAAGTTTAATAAAAGTCTACCTAAAACCCAAAAAAAATTAAAAATCGGCCCAAATTTTGACTTTATTTACATTTTTCTAATAGAATTTGAAAGCAAACTTGAAATGGAGCTGATATCTAGCTCTTCTCCCTGGATGAACTTATTTGTAGGCCTTGAATCGGCCTGTTTCTTCTTATACGAGTTTAGACCTATTATAAAAGTACTAAAAAATGCAACCCTACATGTAAAAAGGTACAAAAAACTCCAACAGTGATGCCGATGCATGCATTGGAGGCAAAGTGTAAATGTCATCCTTTGTGGTGTATTACAACAATTAATTATTAAAAAGTCATTATATATACACATATATTTCTAATTATTAATATTTAAACTTATTTCTCAAATATTAATAATTCAATTTTCAATTGCAACATTGTCTTTATTTCCATCAGCTGTTTTGTGCTGTGTGCTATCATTTCACAGTGATTGTTGTTTATTAGCAATCACCCCTATTTGACAACACATTGATGGTTGACGGTGGCCTAACACAAGCAGACTGTCGAATTGTCAAAGTCAGTGTAAAGTTCATTGATTTACTACTTTTTCTTCATTTACTAAAGAAAACCGAATTAATTTATACAAAAAATACAATTTTAAATAAAACAGCACATGTTTCTACAATAAAACCAAGAGGCAGATACATACAACAATAGGATAATTATCAAAAATAAAAAGAAATGATCTAGCAAAACAATGCATGCCAAATAAACTGCAATTCCAAGAATCTAACAAACCGAAAACGACGTACCTTCGAACTTTTATGTGTGCTAATAAAACAAAATACTAAAACATTTTGTGTATTTAATAAAAACAAAAATTCTTAACAAAAACCGGTCCTAATTGAAACAAATTTTTTGGGAAGCTCAATTGTGGATCGTAACGAAATCATAGTAAGTAAAATGTTTTTTTGTTCTTTGGTAACTAATCGATATAGCAATATTAATTATTCATTTAAATATTAACAATTATAGGTCATCATTATCACACCAAAGAAATCAAAAAACGAAGAAAAGAGAAACCTTTTACTGGTCACATCTATTCACCACCTGTATTGAGGGAAATTAAAGGTATGTAAATAGGGCGGCTAGCTGGCCGGCTAATCAGTAGTTTATGATTTCAGGCGATAATCTTATCGAAAAGAATTTGTTGTCGAAATTACTAATCTGTAGTGCAGAAGCATATCACCAAAACAACAAAGTAACCAAAATGGGTCTAAAGTTTAAATGAGACCCTCTACGAAAGGTTTAAGAAATATTTATTTATGATCTAGTCAAGTTCCTTCTGGTGATATATAAAAATTTTAATGGAGATGTATTTAGTCCCAAAAAGAAATATCGATTTTGATGACTTTTCTATACAAATGTCCAGTTTCCGATTACCATCAAACTGATTATAACTCTGACGATCGCAATAATTTCTGGCGAAAAGCCATACTTTCCAAGATTTGGCCCTTTATCCAAGTCCACCGAAGGTCGGATATTTAGAAAGGAATTTTAATATAAAAAGAAAAATAACATTTTTATTTTTAATAATTTGAAATAAAAATAATATTTTTATTTTAATAAATTAAAATAAAAATATTTTTATTTTTTAATAATTTAAAATAAAAATATTTCGCTTTTGTCCACAGGATAAAGTCTTAAATTACCAATCCAAGGACCTATATTTATACTAAATATTCTATTAAAAACATATTTACGTTTTATCTAAATTTGTAACCTTCACTAAAGTCTGCTAATTTTCTATAAAAAAAATATTTTTTATTTTTATATTAAAATTTCTCAATTATAACTATTTTTCTCTTTTTATTTTTTACAGTTTTTTGTTGTTGCCCAACATTCCAATAGCAATTCGATTATTGAGGTTAAAGGATAACAGCTGACATTTGAAAGAAAGAAACAAAGTAGAGCAAACATCTGTGAGAAATCCCACAGACGGAAAGTAGTTACCCAAAGAAAAGTAACACGCCCGCCCACATTCCCTCAGGAGCAAGACATTCGTAACAACGACAATACAAAAACAACACGAAAAACCCACCACCAATAAATTTGTGTGAAAAAAAAAACATTTTCAAAACAATTTTGAATAGTCATCAGAGCAGTTATCACAACAATTTTAAATCGAGCGTTACATACCTACCAAAATGTTGTCCCGTTTAAATGATTTCCTGACACGCCATCGTCGAAAATTCATTGTTACTGGTGTTGTGGTTGGCGGTTCCATATTCCTCTTCAAATATGCCCAAAATAAACTAGTCGAAATGCAAGAGAAACAGGCCCGTGAATTTCTAGAGAAAAGTCGTCGCCTTCAACATTTCGAATCGACAGAGAAGACATGCAATCAGGTGATATTGGGTATGGGCGCCGAACTAATGCAGGCCATCATTAAGGAATGTTCCACAGATGAGTTGCTTGAACAATTGAAACAAAATCCACCCAACAAATTGGAATTGTGGGAAGAAATGAAAATACAATCCTTCACACGACTAACCACATTTATATATGCCTCCTCAATGTTGGTGGTGGCCCTAAGGATACAATTGAATTTGTTGGGAGGCTATCTGTATCAGGATACCACAACGACAACGGATAAGTATGGCAAGAAGAAACCTGGGAAAATAAATGATGATCTTAAACAGCAATATTTGTCATTAATTCGGCATTTTATACAAGAAGATGGCCTTTCGGAATTGGTGCGTTTGATACGTGCCAAAGTCATGGCGGTGATGCGTCAATTGCCATTGACAAAACCCCTTAGCTTGGCCGATATCGAACAATTGTTTTGGTCTCTACAAATGGCCATAAACAGTGATCCCAGTACCGATCCCTGTTCAAAGATGGCCAAATATTTGTTACCTTCCCAATTGCCAGACCATCTCAGTGGCGACATGGCATTAATGCAAAAAATGTTCAACGAAACGTTGGATCTTTTGGAAAGCGATGAAGCCAGTAGTGTTTGTTCCAATAATATTTGTCGAGGTTTTTCCCTGGCCGTTGATGCCATGGCCGAGAGTTATAAACATACGATAAGTACAAATCCATCGAATAGTAGTGAAAAGCAACAGCAGCAGCCTCAAGATTTTAATGTCAACAGTATACAAATTGCTTTGGCCCGTGTTATACCCATTGCCAGTACAATGACAGCAAAGGGTTTTGACAGTGAAACGAGACCACAAAATTTGGCCACCTCCTTACTGACATTCTATGTGATATCGGACAAGACAAAGGTGTTGGGTGCCAATGTCTATGAAACATTTTCGTCAACGTAGAGGGAGGAAGAGAACGAGAGAGAGGTAGAGCGAGCGAGCCTTTATGGGGGAAGTATGCAGTCGTCATTTAGCTTTATAATTAACAAAGAAAAATACTTTTTTAATTTATAAACAATAAAAGAAATGGTGTAATATAAAATGAAAATTACATTATAATAATTTTTTATGTATAAAAATAAATTGTCTTATGATTTTTTGATATGTATTGGAAAAAATAATTATTTCTGTATGTCTTTTAAAACAAAATCTTTTGCATTCCTCATTTATTTTAGTTTTTGTGTACAGAATTAAAAAAATAATAATAATAATAAATCGAAATTGGTCAATGTAATGATAATTGTTTGAATTATTAACCAAGTAAATTTTATTCACTTCAGAAAATTCAATTTGAATATTCGTTAGGACCCCTTGTGTTTTTCCTTTGAAAAAAAAAACATTTCCAAAAACTAGACAGATGTTAAATTAAAGCTTTTCAATTTTTACATACACACACATTTGTACTTGGTGGCTTCAATGGGCAGCAGATAAACCACCCCTTAAACGGCATGTGCATCATCACAGGATAAGATTAACAGTTGGTCAATGACGAGAGGATAAAGTGATTATGTTTTTGCAATCTGAATATTTATCGCATAAAATACAATGGGTGTTGCTATTTCTATTTTTTGATATCAAATATATTTCTATGCTTATATAAATGTGTACAAGAAATGTTTATACCCTCAGACGTATAGCTGTTAATAAGGCTATATACACATCGATTTACAAATGTCCATCCGCCCCTCTGTCGATCCGTTCTTATATAAAACAAAATTATTCGATTTTTGTAAATAACTTTCAACTATCACATAATGCTGATTTTCTCTTACATAACATAATTTTATATATGTATAACCAATAGATAATAAAACTTTATAATTCCCTCTAACCATTTTTGCAAAATTTATGAAAATCGGTTAAGTAGTCGCTGAGTTATTTGCATTTGAAGTCATCGATCTTCCGAAATGACCCTACTGTTCGATGCTGGGCACCTATTACCTGAAAATGAAAAATCACACAAAAATTCAGTTTCTAAAAACCGCAATTTTTTTCTTTCATTCTGCACTGTGTATGTGTGTGTGTATATGTAAAGTTATGTCCCTGTAGGAAATGTACATAGTAAATCACTATTGACTACTAACATTTGAAAGGTGCTTGTCAGTCATGGTAATAAAAAAAATTAAGAAAACTAAGATCCAATAAGAACCAATGCTTCTTCTTATTACATGATATGTATTGTTACGTTCTTAGATTTTACTAAATCCCGTGCAGACGTTGTTTTATTTCCCGATACAATTCGTACCAAATAAAACGCGGGTTCTTTCTGATTACGATTATTACAATGATTTTATTCACACAACTTTACTTTGCACTTTACTTTACACGACGGTTTCAATTCGCGATCTGATTCACAACTGACTCACTGCCTTTCCATTCCCTCTATTTATATGAGCCCTGCCTGTCGCTACAGAAGTTTCTAGACGATCTGGTAACACCTAGATCACGAACAATCTACCAATGCAACAAACACATTGAGTAACAATAACAACAACAAACTTACTGAGTGAACAATAACAACAACAAACTTGAGTAAACAAACTTACAATAACAACAACACATATACAGGCGAGGGAATAACAAAGAAAGAGGAATAACAACAACACATATACAGGCGAGGGAATAACAAAGAAAGAGGAATGACGTTTAACAAGAATTGTACGACAATAACAAAATAGAAAATGAAAGAGGAAATGGAAGGATGTAGAAAAATCTATGCAGTGGTTGTTGTTGTGAAGTTATTCAAATAAACTGCGTAGTAGAAATTTACGTTACAATTCAAATTCTTAAATTAACGGAATTCATCTAAATTAACTTAAATCTATAGTTATATTCGTAACATTGCCCCCCGCTTAAGCCTGTTCGTCCCGAATAGGCACAGTTCCCGTTCCGTAGGGGGCCAGCCGCTCCAAATGTACAACTTTCATCTTCGATCTGGGACTGTCACTCCTCTGGATGCGATAAACGACGTCATTTATTTTCGTGACAATCTTGTAGGGTCCTTCCCAGTGCGTCTGCAATTTGGGGCAAAGTCCTTTCTTTCGTTGTGGGTTGAACAATAGTACCAGTTGCCCTTCTTGGAACCCATCGGTATTTGCCGCTCGATCGTACCTTGCCTTCATGCGGTTGCTAACCAATTTTATTCGATGGCGAACAGCATCGTGGACTTTACTAAAAGAGTTCTGACTGTCTTCTTCTTGGTTCACATCGTGGTTTGGGGTAGCACCGAATATCAAATCGCCAGGTAGCTTTAATTCATTTCCGAACAGAACTTTGGCTGGAGTCCGGGATGTGGAATCATGAATGGCCGATCTATAAGCCAGTAAAAACTTTGGAATATGCTCATCCCAGTCTCGTTGGCCACTGTCCACCACTTTCCGTAGATGTTCTTCAAGGGTGCGATTGAATCTTTCCACCATGCCATCTGATTGTGGATGTAGGGGCGTCGTTCTGGTTTTCTTAATTCCGTAGGAGTCACACATTTCCTTGAAGATCGCTGATTCAAAATTCCTACCTTGATCGGAATGAACCTCAGATGGAACACCATAGCGACAAATCCAATTTTTGCTGAACACATCCACAATTGTCCTGGCTTCTTGATTTGGGATAGCATAAACCTCCGGCCATTTACTGAAGTAATCCATGACCACTAAGACATACCGGTTCCCAGAGTCGCTTGTGGGGAACGGTCCAGCTACATCCATTGCGATTCTTTCAAAAGGGGCTCCTGAATTATACTGCTGCATGTAGCCTCGACTCTTCCGTGTTGGACCTTTAGCTTTTATGCACCTTTCACAATTGGCGATCCAGTCGGCAATGGATTTTTGACAGCCGACCCAGTAGAATCTCTGCTTTACCTTTTCAGCGGTCTTTGCTATGCCAAGATGTCCTCCACTTGGCCCATCGTGAAACTCCGACAAGACATCTCTTATTTTGGAGTCTGGGACGACGATCAAGTTCCGGTGAGATTTACCGTCCTCACTTTCCCATTTGCGATATAGGCAGCCATCTTTTATAAGTAGACTGTCCCACTGGGCCCAATAGGATTTTAAAAGAGGGCTTTCGGAGGTAATTTCTTTACGACTAGGTCGCTTGCCCGTTTCAATGGCCGAAATTACTTTGCCCAGAATGGGATCTCTTCGTTGTTCCGTCGACCAATCTTCACCCGACTCAAACTGCAATAGTCGGACATCAACGATATTCTCCTTATTCTCAGCCTTTGAGCAATGCCTGCATTCTACCTTGCATGGCCGACGAGACAGGGCATCAGCATTACCGTGTTTTCCGCCTTTTCTGTGCTCGATTCTGAAATCATAACTCTGGAGCCTCTCGATCCAACGGGCTAGTTGACCTTCCGGATTCTTAAACCGCAGCAACCATTGGAGAGCAGCGTGGTCGGTCCTCAGCAGGAAATGCTGGCCATATAGGTATTTGTGGAAGTGTTTAACGCTCTCAAGGGCAGCAAGCAGCTCTCTCCTCGTCACACAGTAATTCCTCTCAGGCTTCGACAATGTCCGGCTGTAGTACCCGATGACTTTTTCCTGTCCGTCGATTTCCTGGGAAAGGACGCCACCAATGCCGCACGCACTTGCGTCTGTGTCCAGAGCAAACTTTCCGCCAGGTATAGGGTATGCCAAAATGGGGGCTCTGCATAGCATGTCTTTGAGTTTACTGAACGCCTCTTCTTGGTCGTTGCCCCACTGGAACCTCTGGCCTTTTTGCGTTAAGCGGTGTAGACAGGCGGCGATGTTGGCAAAATTTGGGACAAATCGACGGTAGTAGGTGCAGAGACCCAGAAAGCTTCGCAGCTCATGGAGATTTCGGGGCTGCGGCCAATCTCTGACGGCTTGAATTTTCTCCTTATCCGTCGATATGCCCTCCGGCGTCACGTGATGCCCCAGGAACTTCACCTCTCGTTGGAAGAGACTGCACTTCTTTGGGTTCAGCTTGAGGCCTGAAGACGAAAGCTGCTGAAGAACATCCTTTAAATTCTTGATGTGTTCGTCGAAGTTGCGTCCCATGACTATGATGTCATCCAGGTATATGAGGCATGACTTCCACTGCAGCCCTTTTAACACACGCTCCATCAGCCTTTCAAATGTAGCCGGGGCGTTGCAGAGTCCGAATGGCATGACATTGAACTGCCAGAGACCCCCATTAACGCCAAACGCTGTTTTCTCCTTATCTTTCTCGGCGATCTCTACTTGCCAGTACCCACTCTGCAGGTCGAGGGTGGAGAACCATGACGTCCCGGCTAATGTGTCCAATGTGTCGTCGATTCTTGGGAGCGGATAACTGTCTTTCTTGGTGACATCATTTAACTTTCGGTAGTCCACACAAAACCGGGTGCTTCCGTCTTTCTTCTTGACCAAGACCACTGGGGAGCACCATGGACTTGACGATGGTTCTATTACACCACTCTTTTCCATTTCACTTATCAGCTTCTGGACCTCGTCTCTTTTGGCCAGGGGAACACTTCTTGGAGGCTGTTTAATGGGTCGCGCGTCTGCTGTATTGATTTCATGCTTCACCACTGATGTTCTTCCTTGGTGCTCTTTTGTCAACGCAAAGGTAGAGGCATACTTCCATAATAGCTGCTTAGCCTTGTTCCTCTCGGAAGGTGATAATTGGTGTGTCCACTCTTTTATGTAGCCGTCGAGGTGCTTCTTCTCCATGGCTGCTGGCTTTTCGGTGCTAGTTTCCAAATTAACTACAGCTTCAGCTGGTGTGCATTGTCCAACTTCGGAAAATTGGCAAATTTGCTCTTGCTTGTTTGACAGGTTCAAAACTCTAACAGGAATCAATCCGTCCTCGTTGCTTTTCACCAGGGCATTCGCTATTAGGATGTTACTGTATCTGTTTTCTGCTGGTTCCACCACCCACAACTTCTCGGCTCCACAATCT